TTCGTCCTCCGTTCGTAAGACGGCGGACGAATTGACAGATCTCCAACCAATAGAAACACTTTCGTACCATCGTATCATCTGTCAATTCGTCCGTCGTCGTACGAATTGACAGATCTCCAACCAATAGAAACACTTTCGTACCATCGTATCATCTGTCAATTCGTCCGTCGTCGTACGAATTGACAGATCTTCAACCAATAGAAACACTTTCGTACGAACGGATGCATGGGACATCATAGGCTTTAGACGTAAGAATACGATGCGTATTTGTTGTTTTTCATAGACCCAATTTCTTGTCTAATATTATTTGATCGTCGGAGTAAAGTAGATGTGAAAACTTGTCCAATTTAATTCGAGTTGTTCAAAGAGAAAATGCACTTGCTGCACAAAAACTGATTGAAACTGACCGCAACCTTTATGACCTGCTACATCAGCACCGTCCTAGTCGGCCATGGCCTAGAATAAAGGCAATTTTGCAAAAAAAGAGGAACGTTAGGTAATAAATTAATGCGTCCACTTAAATCATGATTTTCCCATTAGCTATGTATGTGGATGTATGTCAGTTGTTGACATTGAGCCATTGGAGGAATTCTGATTAGACTGTTAAGAAACGTGTGATGGGCCTTTGTTTACGATTGAATCGAAGCGAAACAAATAAATGACCGAAAATTACCATTTGGCCTGCAAGATGTGGATTGTCTTTGCACGTTTTATGCGGGAACCGTTCACGAGTTGGGCAGTTTATCTAGTAATGAATATTGAGGGGAGCGTGGGAATTGAAGTGATGACATTAGTCGATTTATGAACAATTCAATTATGGATTTTTGGCAAGTCGTTAGTCTGCAGTTTTAGTTTGAACTGAAAAAAACCGCTTGTTTTTTCTACTAAATAAGTAATTTCTAACTCACTCAAGTCGTACTCATTCGGGGCGTTTAGAATTCGATTAATTTATCATATTAATTGCTTTGCATATGCTAGGCCTTGCCAACCAATTGCATGCACTTACTATTAAACAATTTTCTCTCGATCAAAACGTTTCGATAGATTGGAGTCGGTGCGCTGCTACAAAAAGCTGCACTCATATAAAGAAATACGCCGTTAAAGGAAACTTTGTGGAAATGAAGCAAATAATGCCTGCGACCTTTCAATCACAATGGGTTTAATCTACTGTTTATCAGTCTGTATGTAATTTAATTGCCATTGATATTTAATTAAATCTATGTAGGTACATGCATGAAACCGTCCTCCTCAATTATAAAACGACAATGACATTGGTTTATGTTGGTAAGGTCAAGAGTCGAAGTCAACTGTTTCCCGTCCCTGAATCCGCAAGTAAGTACATAAATTTTGTTATAATTTATTTAAAAACTACGTGAATAACATAAATGGGATGGACGCTGCCGCTACAGCAACCGCATTTCAATGCATTTTCAAATCGCAATTTAACCGAAACACTTAGGTATAGTAAAAGAATGCGAATCAGAGGAGTTATGAAGAAAACCTGACAAAATTAACTACGCATTACAAACACTGTGTTAACTGGAATTTAATCGAACCAGAGCATTATTTCATTTATACAGTAGGGTTTCCCAAAATTTTTGATAATCAAACACTTCTACTGAACTTCATTTAAACAAGACAAGGGCAAATTTCGAGATTTGTTAACCTCAGGCACCCCCAGGGCCGGTTTCGAACATTCCTGGGGGTGCCTGAGGTGAGCGAGCTTTGAAACTTCCACTGTCTTGATCGGATGATACCGACGAAATTCTTGTCTGTATTTTAGCACCTAAAAAAGGATAACTAAATTTTTGGTGTTAAGTGTGAGGTTTAAAGAAACGCAAAACGCAAAATCACTATTTTCTATTGGCCAGTAGGATGACCCGATTAATCACCCATTGATTGCGGTTGGACCTCGATTTAACCAATCGCTCACAAACTGTTACGTAACAAGGAAAAGGGTCTGGGTGCCCACTAAACACGCAAATATGCTGATAGTTCGCGTAAATAAAATAAACTGTTTGGAGTAGAGTAATCTGATTAAGCGTGCCAGGGTTTTGAACTCGGAAAACTGTTCTAAAGCAACAGCAACTGATTGCAGTGGCTCTTCAAATGCAATATCTAATGGGTTTTTCGGGGTTTTTGGGCCGTCGTTCGGTAGAATTTCTTCCTGACGTTTCGCAAGCACGAGTGGCTTGCATCTTCAGAAGTGGTTTGCTTGAACGCTTACA